TCAATTACCAACCATAGACTCCGGTCAGTCAAATTGACTATTTTGAACTGTAGGCATTAATCAGCGATTCTGCCAATGGAGAGATAAAATCTAGGTCAGGGGGAGCCCCATGACCCCAAGATTTTTTTTCTTATGTCACCAACCATGTAACCGGGGCAATGTGGCGGTGCCATCATACCTGATATTCACTCTTTTTTTTATCTCTGCACCGATGGGGATGAAGTCTAGCGACTCTGCCTGGAAAGCCTGCCTTTTCCTGTCCAGGTTTCTGTGCCGACACTGTGGCTGGTAGGATAAATTTTTCTTATTATTTTTACCCCGTGTCGTTTCCCCCCTTTGTGTGCATAATTTTTCAAACAAAGAAAATAAAACCCGGCGACGCCATTTAACCACGTTGTTGGTTTCTTTGCGTCACCTTTTCCAACTGTATTTCGCTTCCCTCATGCATGTCGTGTTCATGTTATGTTTCACCAATGTATTTAGAAATGGATAGATGTAACACCAGAGGCTCGCCGCCGGTTTTGTCTCCTCTTTTTTCAAGGTGACTGTGCAGTGGTTATAATCAGTATTTACCAGCATAGAACCCGCATCCGAAATGCTATTTTTGCCATGACTGCGTGCGGGGCTCAGGGTTTTTGCCTTGAAGGCATGTGTTTTCACTGGACTTCTGAGGCCTGGGATGTTTTCCAGAGCCATGCAAATCGCTGAGACTGACTGCATCACTCGTATTTCACAGCAAGGTTGTGCGTCCAGTAAAACTCGGTTAAAGTGAGTTGTGTGTTGGCATGAGTGGAAAGTCCTAATGCTCGGCTACCGATGCTTTGTGTACTGAGCCATCGAGTAGGAGGCACGACGATGGAGGTACCAGTATTTTTTGGACAAGAGTTAGACAGTTTGCTGGAAAAGGGCGCCATACTGCCTCCCTCCTGCGTAGGACCCAGCCCGAACGACCACAAGGGTCCCTGCGCATAGGCAAAAATTCGGTCTCAGCTTCTTTGCAGACATATTTCTTTACTGTCAGCTCTCCTGGCAAGTTTCCAGGTCTCGCTTTTAGGCCTATGTCCTCATGCAGAACTGTTTCGGTTTTTACTTCCAAAGCATACTCTACCCCCTGAATTGGGTTTGGGTCTAGCTTTTTCGGGCACACCGAACCCTGTCATCGTAGCAGCTTTTTTGGCTTTTTTCTCCAGGGACAGCTCAGGCAAGGTAAGACACCACCCTCTTTTGGGGTCTTAGCTAGGTGATGAGTGGTAGTTGTAGAGTGTATCACCCCGGACTGGGAAAAAAGACTTTCATCATTTTTTGTTTGCTGGGAAAACCCACCACCTATCTGCATCTGACTCTGCCTACAGTCATTTTGACTGACTGGAGTCTATGGTGGATAACTGAACGTAGTGAATTTAGGCAGAGGGTTCTCCGAACCAGTCTATTCACATAGTTCATACCCACCATAGACTCCGGGTCTCCCCAACCACCCCACTCTTTCCGCAGCGTTGGTCTAGTCCTCGGTGTGGAGAGAAAGAAACTAGAGTGAATACCAGGGTATGATGGCGCCGCCACATTGCCTCGGTTATGTGGTTCGTGATGAAGGGGAAAAAAATCTTGGGGTCATGTGGCTTCCCCTGACCTAAATTTTATCTCTCCGTCATTGGCAGAATCGCTGATTAATGCCTACAGTTAAAAATAGTCATTTTGACTGACTCGAGTCTATGGTGGGTATGAACTATGTGAATAGGCGGGTTCGAAGAAACCTCTGCCTAAGTTTGTGTCCATTGCAGTAGCTCAGTATACCGATAGTACTGGTTTGTCATGAAGCCCTTTGGAATAATCAGATTTCAAATGAACTCTGATCCTGAACCATATCTCTGACATGCTTTGTCCGATCATGTTAAAACAAATATGTTATAATTAATGTCACCCATAGATTTTTGTTCTCATTCCAATTAAATAAATCCAAAAGGTGCATTTTAAAGCTAATAATCATGCATATCTGCCAAAAACACATTATTTATCCATCATTCAAGTTCTAATTTAAAATGACTGACTGGTTTAAGTTTTGTTTTCTATTGCATGTCTGTGTCATGTTAATGATTTGTTCAATCATGGTTTATAAAATCTTTTTTTGCAGGCAAGAAATAGCAATATGCGACATCGTCCCATTGGTATTGGTGTTCAGGGTCTTGCTGATGCATTTATATTAATGAGGTTTCCCTTTGACAGTGATGAAGCAATGTTATTGAATAAACAAATTTTTGAAACTATATATTACGGTGCCTTGAAAGCCAGTTGTGAATTGGCTGAACGAGATGGAGTATATGAATCTTATAAATTTGGAGATGGATGTCCTGTTAGTAAAGGAGTAAGTAATTGATTCCCGTGTGTGAAGCACAAAAGGGAGTCTTTGCAGCTACCCTGTCTGTCTGTATGTCTGTATGTATGTATTTTATCAGGAGCTTCTGAAAATGTGGTCCATCAAAAGTAGGCCATCAACCATTGATGACGTGTGTAATGAACCTTTGTTTTTTAACCCATTTATAATACACTATGTTCGTAATATTCCATTAAACATGTTGCACTTCCATCAAGCCGGTCTTACTAAAATCGGGAATCTGCTCGATAATAACCACAATTGGCTTCATGTTGACACATTGTATGGTTTAGTGCCCATATATTCTAAACGCCTTCTCACTATGGCACTAGATGTAATAAAATGTGCTATGAGTGGCATGGTATAATAAATAAGTCCAGTCATATAAATAAAACTGGGTCACGTGACACTAATTACTGCTTAGTACAGGAATGACGGGAATGATATCCTGCTGAACTATCCCCTCTAGAAGATCGATGAGGGAGGAGAGCTGTATAAGTTTCTTGTACTTACCAATAAACTCTCTAAAGAAAATGTTCTTTATGAAACAGTTTGGATGGATATTAAGATATTAAGCCAAACTTTCGTGACTGCTATATTACGCCAGTCACCAAAAAAGACGACGATTTGCAATGGCACCTTTTACATGACACTTACCCAACTGGTGGATTTTACTTGAAATCTAAAATCAGAAATTCAGATGCATGCATTTTCTGTGATGAAAAAAATGATTTGGTGCACATTTTTATTGAGTGTCCTCGACTGACATTGTGTGACCAAGGTCCAGTCCCCCTATCCTGGCATATATTTCGCCTTCCAAGGAGGCATATCATTACCAATACACATCGCCCGGTTTAATTTGGGTCGTGTCTGTGCAATGTGTGTGCACATTTTCATGTTACCAGCTTTTTCTCACTCATGTGTGATCCAATTCAGTTCAGAGTTGGTACAGAGACAGAAATTGATGGTGCTATGGTGCACATCAAGTTATTTTTTCGATTCTTCAAAGTTTCAC